TTTAAGTGACAACAATAATGGGATGTGTAATGTCCTAATAATTATGATAGTGGAATGGGTGGTGGTTTTCTTTATTGCCTACTATATTGACCAGGTTCTAACATCGGGAAGTGGTGCCCGAAAAAGTCCACTTTTTTTCTTGCATAACCTCAAAAGTAATCCCTCGAAATCGTTCAGAAATCCCTTGTCATCATTTAGGCTACCAAGTTTGCAAAGAAAGGGTTCAAAAGTATATATAGAGCTGGAGAAACCTGATATTGTACAAGAGGCAAGTAGTACTTCTTTACTCGGTTATAATTAATGTCCATAGTTGGTTTAGGGTGGTATCTTTGTAGAAAAGAAGGCTACAAACTTTTTGTTCCAATGTGAATTGTGTTCCTTCTGGGCACTAGGATCTTATTTACATCTCATGTGATCTTCCACAATGTGGGCCCGCTTAGGGGTTGGTGGAAGAAAAACTTTTTTGCAGAAAATAGTGCCCATAGTATATGATATGGTATATTTTGTTACTTGGACTAGTTGTATATTACACCAGTTTATAATTATAAAATTATGGGTATAGATTGTTCAACAAACCTTCTATCTAGTTTTTTAAATGGTCAACGTCTGTCTAATCTCCTAGATTATTGTATTCTCTAACTTTTGGTAATACCAATTGTCTCCCTTCACACCTTCTATCAGAAAGAAAGAGTCGAGTTGTCACTACTTGAACAAGACAAAAGCCATGCTATTGTATGTGATAACCTCAAAAAGGTGTATCCTGGAAGGGATGGAAACCCCGAGAAACTTGCAGTTAGAGGGTTGTCACTTGCATTGTCCACAGGAGAGTGCTTTGGTATGCTTGGTCCAAATGGTGCTGGCAAAACCTCCTTCATTAATATGGTTAGTGTAAAAACATCTCTTAATTCACAGTTGTTTATTTGAATAACAAACAGATAGGTGCATACTGCGTTGTACATACTTTCATTTTTTTTCTTTCTTATTATGTAGTTTGAAAAATCTACCCAATCATAGCAGTGAAATTTGATTTATATTTGGTTGGCATTGTTAAATATAATGTTGTAATAGGAGGAAATGAAAGTAATAAAAAACTAAAATACGTTGCTATTTCTTGCTTTTAACCCAACTATATAAGGTGTTGACAGATGATTGGGCTGGTTAAGCCAAGCTCTGGCACAGCATATGTTCGTGGCCTGGATATAAGAAGTGACATGGATGAGATTTATGCCAACATGGGTGTATGTCCTCAGCATGAGTAAGGACTTGTTTTTTTTTTTTTTTTCTTTTTGCCTTGATAAATGATCTTTAAAATATATTTGCGAAAATGACCGCTTACATGAGAAAATGGAAGAAAATGGAAGGAAAATATAAAAAGTTAAGGTTAAATTAATGGGGAAACCCCCCTTTTCATGAGTTTTGTAAGTAGTTCTTTATGCGTTATTTCAAAAATAAACACCCTTATAACAAAATCCCGCTAGAAGTAACATCAGAAGTTGTTGGTTTTACTATTTATGTTGGTTAGATAAATTTATATGGTTTCTTAATACTAAGTCTGTTATACAGCCTGCTGTGGGAAACCCTAACAGGGAGGGAGCATCTTCTTTTTTATGGAAGGCTTAAGAACCTTAAAGGTGCCGTCTTGACACAAGTAAGTTGTCATTAACTGTGGTTATGTTTGTTACAATTAGGGACACCATGAGAGTAGGTTGGCCAAGCTTTTTAAGACTATTTTTAATACAAAGATGAGGAGGGCATTCACACATCTGTTACAAAGAAAAGAGATCAAGAACAAGTCTTTAACCCACCTCCCTCCACCTTTTTGGGTGGGATAAAAAAATTGCAATTTGTGTCCTATCGATGTTCAGTGCATGTCAAAGGAAGTCCCATCATGTTTTGCGTAACAAATGGGACCTTTAAGACAACTTTCTTGCTGAGAGACTTGAAACTTATTTTGTAAATGGTGTTGTTTCAGGCGGTTGAAGAATCTCTTAGAAGCATGAATTTATTGAATGGTGGGATTGCAGACAAGCAAGTCGGGAAGTACAGTGGAGGCATGAAGAGGAGGCTCAGTGTTGCCATTTCATTGATTGGAGATCCAAAGGTGGTGTACATGGATGAGCCCAGTACTGGGCTCGACCCAACTTCAAGAAAAAATCTATGGAATGTGGTGAAACGGGCTAAACAAAATTGCGCAATTATTCTCACCAGTAATCATCTGATATTGTTTTGTCGTGTCCGATGTTGCATAACAAATGTCCGATGTTGCATAACAAAACATGACCTCAGTACTTTTGTCCTAAAAATAATTCATTTACACTAACATGCGACTTTCCCTTGGGATTTTTCCTGAAACAAAGGATGCATTATTTGAACTTGTTTAATTGCAATTAAGGTAAAGATAATTGAAATGTAACTGATATGGGTAACGAAAATGTTTCAGCACATTCTATGGAGGAAGCGGAGAATCTATGTGACCGCTTAGGGATTTTTGTAGATGGCAGGTTGCAGTGTGTCGGAAACCCTAAAGAGGTATTGTGATCAATACATGCATATATACCCTAACAAATCGTTATAACCATAATGTTGCTTGGATTGACAATTAAAAAAAATTAAGGTATGGAAATGGAAAGTAAAACTAAATGAGAGGAAATTCGCGAAATTAAAGTTAGGACTTAAGGAAGAAACTTCATTTCCATGACTTTATCTATAGCCATTTATAGCTTAAAATGTTTAAGTCTTGTCCCCATAAAATCCATTAAGTAAAAAATAAATAGCAGTATAAACTATTAGCCGAAATATACACTTGCTATATATTTCGGATTTATGTATTGTATCTGTAAATTATTGAGATTCCAATGCCTTATTCATTGATACTCTTATTCATTGATACTCATCTGAATAAATACAAGAGGTCCAGAGGTATTACACAGGAAAGTCTAATTAACAATAATCAGCTAAATAAGGAATAGATAATACACAATAAACATACAGATACAATACATAAATCCGAAATATATAGCAAGTGTATATTTCGGTTAAAATATAAACAACATTACCGTAATCCATGGAAAGTTCTTTAATCAGTGTGTCTTACTATCTTTGTTTTTGAACTGGGACAGTTGAAGGGTAGATATGGAGGTTCATACGTGTTTACAATGACAACATCTTCAAATCATGAGGCCGATGTAGAAAACATAGTAAAGGGTCTCTCGCCCTACGCTAAAAAGATATATGACATATCAGGGACACAAAAGTTTGAGTTGCCAAAAGAAGCCATCAAAATAGCAGATGTTTTTCGTGCTGTCGAAAATGCTAAAAGCAGGTTCGTCGTTCAAGCATGGGGAATCACAGACACTACTCTAGAGGATGTGTTCATCAAAGTGGCTCGAGAGGCTCAACCATTCGATGTTCTCTCGTGATAACTTCAGTTGAAGATCATAAGTTTGAATCTTTATGTTCTCTTATGTATCCCCACATAAGTCTTTCGATTTGTAATAAACTGAATTTTCATCAATCATTGTAGCTGTATCTCTCTCTATTTTCTCTCAAGGCAGACAAGGAAGTTTGGGCACTTTGTGACCTAAGGTTTCCCCTGGCCTTGGGGGATTGCAAACCATAAAGGAGGTCACCCACCATCTAGGGTGGATAATTTTTAAAAAAAAAAAACAAAAAAAACTTTGAATAAAGATGTCAAAATTAATGTGTTAAATGAGGTGGATGTGTTGAAGTACAGTGGCCACGAAGAAATTATGTGGATGTACCACATAATTAACTTTTTATTATTTTCTGAAAATACCATCAACTTTTTAAATTTTTCTGAAAAACCCTCGCATTTTACAGAAAAAAAATGGAAAAAAAAATAATTAAAATGACCAAATCGAAAAAAGTAGGAAAATATAGGGTTAGGGAAAAAAATAAAGTTGAGGTGAATCAAAAAAACAAAAAATATAAAGTTTTTTACGAGATTAACCCTTTAATTAATCCATGTAAGAATTATATTTTTGAGCACTGTAACTTTATATTTGTCGATCATCTACTTCTACCCTGTTTTTTCAAATTGATCACGAATGATCAATTTGACAGTTAATGTTTTCTGGAATCCATAAAACTACTATTTAATTTTTTATAAAATTCAATGAAAGAAAAAGTCCAAGTTACAAAAGTACAAGCATGATATACATACACAAAAATTTAAAACAAAAACTTGTATGTTTTTGAGATACAAAATACTATACAATATACCACCTGTGACACATTTTGGCAATATAAATTTGATGCAAACTAAAAAATAGTAGAAACTAAAATTCTTCTATAGATATACGTATACTTTCGTTTTAATCTACTAACAAGAAAATGAAGACTTAATCATGAGAGAACATCAAAGGGTTGAGCCTCTCGAGCAACTTTAATGAAAACATCTTCAAGAGTTGTGTCTGCAAGCCCCCATGCCTGAACATCAAACCTACTTTTAGCATTCTCAACAGCACGAAATACATCTGCTATTTTGATGGCTTCTTTTGGCAATTCAAATTTTTGTGTCCCTGATATTTCGTATATCTTTTTTGCATCTGGCGAGAGACCTTTTACCAAGTTTTCTACATCTGCCTCGTGATTTGAGGATGTTGTCATTGTGAACACATATGAACCTCCGTATCTACCCTTCAACTGTCCCCATACAATTAAAATAAAGATAGTAAGATTCACTCATATAAAAAAAAAAAAAAAAAAAAAACATTCACTTTCACCATTTTATCCATTATGACCATTTTAACCCCGGATTTAATATTAATGTGCAAAATACCTCTTTAGGGTTTCCGACACACTGCAAGCTTCCATCTACAAAAATTCCTAACCGATCACATAGATGCTCGGCTTCCTCCATTGAATGTGCTGAAACATTTGTATTACCCATATCAGTTGCATTTCAATGACATGACATGACATAATAGGTTGTACTGTTTTTGGCATATGCATTAGACTGGGACAAAAATTGCAATTTTTTGTCACATTTGTTCTCGATCTATTATGTGGAAAAGACGTGAACGCCCTTTGGAAAGTGTCTTAGAGGATTACTAGTGAGAATAATAGCACGGTTTTGTTTGGCCCGCTTAACCACATTCCATAGATTGTTTCTTGAAGCTGGGTCGAGTCCGGTACTGGGCTCATCCATGTACACAACCTTTGGATCCCCGATCAATGAAATGGCAACACTGAGCCTCCTCTTCATGCCTCCACTGTACTTCCCGGATTGCTTGTCTGCAACCCCACCATTGAATAGATTCACACTTCTTAGAGATTCTTCAACTGCCTAAAATAACCACATTTACCCAACCAAATAAGTTTTACAGATTGCATCGCATTTGGTGTCAATCGAGAAAAAAAAAATTATAGTTTTTTATCCCAAAAGGGCAGAACAGGGTGGGACAGGGACTCGCACTTGATCTCTTGTATGTGTAAAAGACGAGAATGCCCTTCCTTCTCGTCCGCATCATCACATTATAGTCCTTGTCATGTAAGAAAGGTAGCAAAAGAGAATGTCAACTTACTTGTGTCAAAGCAGCACCTTTAAGGTTCTTAAGCCTTCCATAGAAAAGAAGATGCTCCCTACCTGTTAGGGTTTCCCACAGCAGGCTATATAATAAAAATGGTACAAGGAAGAAACCAACATAATTAGTAAAACTCACTCCCGATAATTAAATGATGTTTAAAAAGTATTTTAGAATGCTTGGAACTTGTAAAAGGGGAAAACCCTCATTTTCCTTGCTTTCTCTATCAAGTCAAAAAGAAAACACTCATATATATATATATATATATATATATATATATATATATATATATATATATATATATATATATATATATAGCTTATTGGATTAAGTCCAAAGAAATTGGGATTTTGATGCTTACTCATGCTGAGGACAGACACCCATGTTGGCATAAATCCCATCCATGTCACTTCTTATATCCAGGCCACGAACATATGCTGTGCCAGAGCTTGGCTTAACCAGCCCAATCATCTGTCAACACCTTATATAGTTGGGTTAAAAGCAAGAAAGAGCAACGTATTTTAGTTTTTTATTACTTTCATTTCCTCCTATTACAACATTATATTTAACAATGCCAACCAAATATAAATCAAATTTCACTGCTATGATTGGGTAGATTTTTCAAACTACATAATAAGAAAAAAAAATGAAAGTATGTACAACAACACAGTATGCACCTATCTGTTTGTTATTCAAATAAACAACTGTGAATTAAGACATGTTTTTACACTAACCATATTAATGAAGGAGGTTTTGCCAGCACCATTTGGACCAAGCATACCAAAGCACTCTCCTGTGGATAATGCAAGTGACAACCCTCTAACTGCAATCTTCTCTGGGTTCCCATCCCTTCCTGGATACACTTTTTTTAGGTTATCACAGACAATATCATGGCTCCTGTCTTGGTCAACTACTAACTGCTCAACCCTCTCCCTCTGATACAATGTTGTATTTACCAAAGGTTAGAGAACATAATAATAGAAACCTCGGGGTTTAATGCATGTGCTGACAAATCAATATCCTATGATCCATTTTGTTACTTAAAATATTACTAAAACTAATTATGACTACTGAGTAAAGATGTACTCTATACTTGCCTCTTGGGCAACATCAGGTTTCTCCAACTGCACGTATACTTTTGAACCCTGTCTTTGTAAACTGGGCTTCCTAAAGGACGAAAAGGGCTTCTTTTTAAACTTTTCCAAGAAAAAAAGTGGACTTTTTCGGGCCCCACTTCCAGCTGTTACAACCTGATCAATATAGTATGCCAAAAAGAAAACCACCACCCATTCCACAATCATGATTATTAGGACATGACTCATCTCGTTATTGCTGTCACTTAAATCACTCCAACGCATTCCATCTGTCCCCATATAGTTTCCGGTAAAAGCATACTGTGAAAACTCGTATAATCCAGCATAAAGAGAAAACCCTGGATATAACTCCATCACAACAATCCAAGCTCCTACAGAAAAAAAAATACACAAACATTTAGACAAATAACATGAGCTGATCAAAACTACATTATTCATATTTTATATCTTTACTTACTTGGAAATGATGTATCTTGAAGGAAGAACTGAAAGAAGAATCCTCCCAAGAGACCGGTTGCAAAGACAGTAATGTACCCCACAACTGTCATAAGTATATCAATACAAGTCTTAACCCACATGTACTCTATCATACTGTGTTTGGCATGCATTGGACTGGGACTCAGAGTGGAACAAAAATTGCAATTTTTTGTCACACCCGAAAAGCAAAGGTGGGACAGGGACTCACTCTCAAGCTCTCATATGTGCAAAAGACATGAAGGCCCTCCTCATCTTCCTGAATAGCCTTAGAAAGTTTGTATACTCCAATCTTGTCCCTGTGTAATAAAAGCAGCCTAAGCAGTTCATGGAAAATATGACAACAAACCTGCAGCAGTCTTCACATTAGAGAAGAGAGCAGCCACTAGAAAGGCCAGAGAAATTTGTAAGTTTATGTAGATGACATAAAACACAAATTGGATGCTGTAGGCATTCAATGTGAAAAACTTTAATCCTGCAATGAATTGAAGGGCACTAGCTAAGCAAATTATAATAGTTGAAAGAAAATATTATATTTCAGTTTTTGCTGATTTGTACCTACAACGGAGCCAAATGCAACGAAACAGAACATGTACACCAAAGATATGGCAAGGAAGTATGCATAAGAAATCATCCAATAAGGACCATCTCCAAGCCCATGCATTTTCATCATGATCCTTAAGTTTTGTTGCTTCTCATACACCAAAGCTGTTAGTACAATCTGCAACAAGAATATAGTAATTTATTCTTAAAACCCTGTTTACTGGATTTGACAGGCATTTGACTAGGACTCAGACTGATGTCAATGAGAAAAAATTTCAATTTTATGTTCCACTCAAAAAGGAGGGATGGGGACTCGTTCTCAATCTCTTGTCTGTGCAAAAGACATGAATGCCCTCCCCCTCATCATCATCATCAAAAATAACCCTAGAAAGCTCATCTAGTCTTGTCCTATGTAACAAAACACAGCCTAAGAGGGAATAGTTGCTAATATGAACTTTAGAGAAAGACTCTGTTTGTTGGCACTAAATCTAAACAAATTCTAATTTTAAAAACTAACTTACAGGGAATAGTTGCAAAATGACCCATGTAAAGAATAATGGTCCAAGGAGAGAAGAGAAATCCAGTCTGATTTCTGTTTCAGGTTTCGGCGTCTCTTTTATGAAATCAAACAGCATTTGTGTAGAAGGCCCACGCAGAAGTTGTAGGAAAGCATTTGAGACCTGTATGCATATAAGTTGGAAACGTTATAATTTGCATTATGGTTTTCATGAAAATATGTTCTATTAACTCCTGTTTGGGAGA